AAAAAAAAAGAAGAGGGGGTCGTCTCTTGGTTCAAAATTAAAAAAAAATTTACGTGGCCCTCGAGTGGCGTGGTCGACGACCATGTTTTCATTTTTTTTAAAACAACAGTATTTTTAAAAAAAAGTTTCAAAACCTACGTTACTTTTAATATTTTTAATTAAAATACAATATTTTTAAAATAAGTTTTATTTACAATAATATTAATAAAAAAAGCCATCTAAAAAGTGACTATTCTAGTTTCTATTTGTAAAATTTTAACAAAAATCTTATATACGAGAGAGTTAATTTATGGCTACCTTTCAAGAAATTTAGCAAGCAAAGTGTTATGTTAACATTTAAAAAAAAAAGATTAAATAAAAATGAAAATAAAGGAATCAAAAGATCACCTCTTACAAAGAACAAAACGAACGTTTCTAAAATATATAGGCTAAAATGAATAAAAGTAAAAAATATAAAGATCAAAATAGACGTTTTAAAGGTGCAGGCCCAAAGCGAACAAAAGTTGTAAGAAAATGACTAGTATTTAAACTCTTTTTTTAAAATTATCAAAATAGAGATTCCTCCCCTATTTATAATCCATGTTCATTGATGTTCTTATAAAGACAAAATTAATATTAACAATCTTTAACTAATTTAAAAAGAGTGAAATTCTTATTTATTAATTTAAATATTTGACATATATTTTTTATATTATATAATTTTTCCTCGACATCAATACTTCCATTGGCATTTACATAAAATAAAGACAAATTTTGCATAAATGTGAACTTTTCTTAACATATTTTAGTATGGGTTTAATTTAGATTTATGTTATTTACGTAAATAACTCAAAATAAAATTGTGGCATTTTAGAACATAACGACCAAACAGAACCACTCATCCAATCTCGTAGACTAAAAAAATATATTTGTCCTAAAAATTGTTCAGATTTGCATATACAAACTCTGCAAAACAATCAACAAACAGGCATCATTCTTTTTCATGAACATCCATATCATGCAAATTCCAACACGACAAAGATTTAAACAAAAACATGAACTCAAACAACTATGGTTTCATTAATCTACGTCAGATCTTGAACTCCAACAACAATCTAAAACAAAATTCACAACCCAAAATGCAAAAATGATTGGTCCAATTCTGTTTAGTTTGCTCAGGTGTCGCTACCACCACTGGCAGCCAAAGAAAAATCTGTCTATAAACATGCGTCAATTTCCAGTCATAACATGAGAGGAATCCGAGCTAAATGCGGGACAACGATAACAAGAGAAGCTTGAGAACCCGCTAGAGGGATAACATAATCTAACCCCTGCCCGACGTCATTGTATCGATCATTGTTAAAATATACACTAGTTGTTTATGATGCTTTGATGCAAGTGTATTAACCCCTGCCCAACATTGATTTCTTCAACAAATTGAGCTTTTGGTTCCAAATCTATGAACTGGTTGGACTTACTAGCTAGATGTGAAATGCTAACCCTTCCTTGACGCTTGATGTAGTCGGCAACTGCTTGCATTTCTTCCTTCGATATGTATATATATTTTCCCCTGTCGTCCATGACACCAGAAAGTCGGCCTACAATATCACGTATTTAATATTACTTGTGATATTATAATAAAACGATCACAACGATAAAAGCTACCAAGAAATCACGACATACGATCCATGAAATACATTATCCAAGAGAGAAGAATGAAAAGAAACATACCCATACTCTCCAGGGAGGTGATCCGATTGATACATTCCTGCATTTGTGAAATAAATAGGAGTGATATTTGGCGGGAAAAAACGGAGAGAGAGCAAAATAAACATTTAATTGAAAGCCGCAGTCAGAGAACAGAACCATTCTTCTTGAAACTCGTGGACTCTGGTTTATTGTGGTTTTTATTTTTCTTTTGCAGAAAAAGAACGACCACAACTAAATCTTACACTGCACATAACAATAATATCTGGATTACCTGAGTTCTTAATTTAAATTCTGCAGCAAGATCTTCCAATTGGACGCATTTATGACTCTGTAAAATAATGTGAAAAGGGGATCTCAGAAATAGAACTAGAACCACATGAAAGCATAAACTAAATGCTGTCTTATACGCATGTCTTTTTCTGACAACTTTTAGGCAACAGGTCTTCTAAGATGTTCTCAGAATTGTAAGAAGCATGGTTTCAGTTAAATTTCACTCATAGGTTGTGTGATTCACCACCAACGAGCATGGTACAGTCATGTTTTCAAGTTTTAAGGAGCTGGATTGTTGAGTCAACAATATCTCATCAGTTAAATATGAAAATAAAGTCGAGAACAGTCAGATTCAGTCATTCATGGTCAGATCTTACTCCCATCCTACACTAATATGTACTTGTACAAGAACATGGTGGGATTGAAATCCCATAAGGTGAAAGATTGATCATCTCATTAGAACATGACAGACTTCACCTTTACATATTCCACAAAAGCAGAGAGCAAATCTTGATTTCCGCCTTCCACTTCAGCTTCAGTGGTACCTTCAGCATCGACTGAAAATTCCCCTTTCCACTTATCAAACTCGAGTGCAGCAGCCTCTTCCTCCTTGGCCTTGCGTGCCTTGGCTTCTTCTTCCTACACAAAGAAAAGTGACCATTCAATTCAACGACAGAAGTACCAGCCTACTTTGCACTTGTCTATATTCAGAGTATTCAACAGAAAATGTGATTTACTAACCAGTAACCGTTCCTGATCTTCGCGCTCCTCATCTTTCTTCCTCCGCATTTCTGCATAGCGGTCTTGTTTTGTAAACCTTGACTCACGGGAAGCTTGTTCAGCCTTCAAAACAGTAATTTTGACTTCAATAAAGTTAATCAGTAGAGAGTTAAAGAGGGGAAAATGTAAGGAAATAGGATGAAAAAATAAGACTATAAGAGCCACGAGCCGAAGCTAAAAACCTAAAGCATCTGAATTTTTGCAAATATAGTGGAATTATTTATGACATGTATTTTCAACACACATAGATGCAGTCGTTAACAATCCAATCTTTCGATACTGATATTTTCACGGAAAATAGTATTTGAATTTTGAACCTTTTCTCCTCATGTTATATTCCTGTACCTGTCTCTGAGCCTCACGCTCTTGTCGCTTCTTTTCTTTCTTCTTCGATCCTTTACCTTCATAGTATTCACCCCCAGCAATTTCGTCATCACTTCCATCAGCACTTTCTGTTCCAAAACCACCAGGAGCAATTGTAAGAGTTGTCATATTCAGTAAAATAAACTTCTAATTGAAAAAAAAAATAAAATAAAAATCACATATTGCTTATACCGACCATTTCCAAACTTCTACATTAGCTACTTATTGCAATAATCATATAAAACCTCCATATTCCATTGCCTCCTTTTTGGTCAATACACCGTAAGCGAGGGTCAACAGCCCTAATCTCACTTGGAAGTCCAAAATCCTAAAGAAGAGCTCATTTTTTTTCTGAGGATTATTGTTATAAAGAAATCAAATGTCAAAGACAAATCCAAATGAGGCATGCAATCATGTAATTAGCCCCCATGTGTGCGTTACATGGTAAGGTCTTAGGACAAAAGTTCAACCATTTCGTTCATTGGCATATCATGAGGATCACTGGGAAAGTTTATGTGAAGATTTTATACTTTCCTTAGGAGGTTCCTGCCTTGGTAAAAAACATGATTCTCCAATATGGTTCTCGAGCCAATTTTAGCCTAACATCACTTTAATGTTCAATGTAACCAATATGTCAATTGTGAATCGAGCTTGGACTACTTGCCCCGTCCTCCCTTGCAACTGACCTTTGGAAAAAAAAAATTAATCTCGAAAAGCTAATTCATACGCAAACCTTCCAGAGCCGCCCCTGCGTTTGACGAACTAGCAGCCGAAGCCGGTCTCCGACGCATACGACGGCCACCACCCGTGGCGCGAACTACAGTTTCTCTCTGAGGAACCTGAAATTCCAAGAGATTGATAACTAAAACCATGCCAGTCCGATAGAAAACAAAGAGATGACCAGTAAAACGATTCTAAGCAAACCTGATCCTCGTCTTCATGCGCATGACCAGAGCGGGAATCCTGATAGCGTCTCCACAGAAAAAGAGGAACCAATGCAACAACAAGTAGCATCGAGAGAATCGCCACGAGAAATTCCTCCATCTTTCGACTTTCCTACACCTATCACCCAAAAATTCCACCGTTAAACTCCTCAATCGCTTAGAAAAATCGCCAACGAACAGCACAATCGGCTGCCTCAAAATTCTTGTTGTTGCTACAAATAAACCACATCAAAGGGTTGGCGAGCGTACCTTGCGAAGAGAAATTTGTGCCTTGGAAGATCGGAGATGAAGAAATCAACAACACCAACAGAACAGTAACGAAGCGGAGGGACGTCGGAGATGCGGGGAAGTATACGGCGCCGTTTAGTGGCCTTACATAGCAGCCGGATCGAACCGGGTTGATTCGGGTTCGGGCCGGATTTAACGTAAATCATTCAAATCTTTTGTAAAGTTTCAATTTAGCCAACGTATGTTTAGTGGTGATGGACACGTACCCATTTTCATAAGATTGGATGTTCCATCATTTATATCTTTAAATTATTGTCCTAAAAAAATGAAAAAGAAAAAGAAAAAATTTGTCCTTAAAATGTAACTTTTGTTTCAATTTGATTCGTGTAATTTAGATTTGATTAATTTTAAAAATTTTAATTTGATGTCTATGTAGTCAAACTTCATGAATGGTTTTTTTTCTCTTGTATACAGTGTAGTTTTTTACTTGAGTAAATATAATATTAATTGAGTTAGGAGCTGTCCTCAAGATATCAATGTCTAACAAAAAAGTTATAAATTCAAATTCTTACTACCACATATTATTATATTTTAGAAAAAAAAATTGTGTGTAGGATTTTTAGGGATGAGTAAAAAATAAAAGAAAATGGATGAATTTTTCAAATGGGTAAAACACAATTTCTGCTAAATTTAACCAAACCATAAAGATCATATTGAAACTGAAACAAAGTTTAAATCATAGAGACTAAATTGAAAATTATAAAATCATATCGACTAAATTGAAGCTAAGTCATAGGAACTAAATTGATATTTTTAAAATTACATGGAACAAATTTAAAAATCTGTCCAAATGAACTAAATTTTGTAATTTAACATAAAAACAAAAAAATTATGAAAGAATTAGAAATATGATCAATTATTTTATTTTTTCTTTATAGTCTCATAAAAATCTTTTTACACTTAAAAATAATTTTAAATGCTCCTATAATTTATAAATTATAGAATTCTAGGCCAATTCTAATGGAACTGTATGTAACCCTTTATTCTAAATAAATAAATAAGTATATGTAACCCTTTTTGAAATTGAAAAAAAGAATTCCCCTTGATGAAATACATAGGCTTAGCATGTAAAACATTTTGCCCATTTCTATACTTCAAAAAATACTTTGTAAGTTGGAAAGAATGGTTAAAATACTATCTTCACTTCTATATTTCATGTATCACAATTTCAACACAATATTACCATACATAACTTTATATTAAAAATTTCTATAAAATTTGTACATATATCAAAATGATCCATTTTAAAACCAAAACAAACATTTTGGAATAGGGATTAAAAAAACCAAGACGACATATCGTTACAGGAAAAGCCATTATTCATAGGAATTATGATTTATTGATTTACTATTATATTTCATTAATATCCAGGGGAAAGAAAATATTACATGCATATAGAAGGTGTCTTGCACATGACCCATCAGCCATTACAGCCACCACCAACATATTATAATAGAAATTGAACTAAAAAGTACTTCTGGGGACCGATTTTATTACTACCATACTGGACCCAGGAGAAGCATAACAGACGCCATGAGAAATCCAGCACAATATGACGACGGAGCCGAGCCTAAACGCCACCGCGCAGGCGGAGGACGAGGTGGAGGGTCGACTCTTTCTGAATGTTGTAATCCGCCAAAGTTCGCCCATCCTCCAGTTGTTTCCCAGCAAAGATCAATCTCTGTTGATCTGGAGGAATCCCCTCCTTGTCTTGAATCTTTGCCTTCACGTTGTCGATTGTGTCCGAGCTTTCGACCTCCAACGTGATCGTCTTCCCTGTCAGTGTCTTCACAAAGATCTGCATCCCACCGCGCAATCGAAGCACCAAATGCAGAGTTGATTCCTTTTGGATGTTGTAATCTGCTAAAGTTCTGCCATCTTCGAGTTGCTTGCCTGCGAAGATCAACCTCTGTTGGTCTGGTGGGATGCCCTCCTTGTCTTGAATCTTTGCCTTCACATTATCAATGGTATCGGAGCTCTCCACTTCCAAAGTGATTGTCTTGCCAGTCAAGGTTTTCACAAAAATCTGCATCCCGCCTCGCAACCGAAGCACCAAGTGCAGTGTCGATTCCTTCTGTATGTTGTAATCTGCCAGAGTCCTACCATCTTCTAGTTGCTTACCAGCAAAGATCAGCCTCTGTTGGTCAGGTGGGATGCCCTCCTTGTCTTGGATCTTGGCTTTCACATTGTCAATGGTATCAGAGCTCTCCACTTCCAAAGTGATCGTCTTGCCTGTCAAGGTCTTCACAAAAATCTGCATCCCACCACGCAATCGGAGCACCAGGTGCAGTGTCGATTCCTTCTGGATGTTATAATCTGCCAGAGTCCTACCGTCTTCGAGTTGCTTACCAGCAAAGATCAACCTCTGTTGGTCAGGTGGAATGCCCTCCTTATCTTGGATCTTGGCTTTCACATTATCGATTGTATCAGAGCTCTCGACCTCCAAGGTGATTGTTTTGCCAGTCAAGGTTTTAACAAAAATCTGCATACCCCCACGAAGCCGAAGCACCAAATGCAAAGTAGATTCTTTCTGGATATTGTAGTCAGCAAGAGTACGGCCGTCCTCAAGCTGCTTACCAGCAAAAATCAGCCTCTGTTGATCAGGAGGGATACCCTCCTTATCTTGGATTTTAGCCTTCACATTGTCAATCGTATCAGAACTTTCCACCTCAAGCGTGATGGTTTTGCCAGTAAGGGTCTTCACAAATATTTGCATCCCACCGCGAAGTCTAAGCACCAGATGAAGAGTAGATTCCTTCTGGATATTGTAATCGGCAAGGGTTCGACCATCCTCGAGTTGCTTACCAGCGAAGATAAGCCTTTGCTGGTCGGGAGGAATTCCCTCTTTATCTTGGATCTTTGCCTTTACATTGTCAATGGTATCCGAACTTTCCACCTCGAGGGTGATTGTTTTGCCAGTGAGAGTTTTCACGAAGATTTGCATCTGCTAAGACACCAACGATAGTTCGATTAAAACCATTGAAAAGTATGCCTCTCTCAACCAAATCCATAAATGGACAATGCCCCTCAAAAAACGAATTAGGAAAACTCATGCCAAAAAATTTCATTAAGAGAAAATCTCAACTCCATATAATTTCTCTAATCTCAGACCAGCCAGGGACAATTCCTCTTCTCCACCCTTCCGTCAAGAACCTCTTATCAATTCGAATTAATAAAACACGGAATTCGTAAATCTCATAGAGCCTCTCGTCATCAACACGAATTAATAAAAGCCAAGATCAAATTCAATTTCTTATTAGCAAAATTTACACAAGATTTGATAAATACTAGAAACAGGAGGAAAAAAAAACTCTCCAACATGCATCGTGGATTACAAGCGAATATCAACTCAATTATTTCTGGCAGAAAGATCGATCCATGAAGAACATGAACCTAGATTCTAAAACCAACCCTAAAAACACGAAGAATCGAACAAATACATGTCCACACGTCCTCGAGATCCAAATATAAGCAATTAAGAGAACAAGAACGAAAAGAGGTGAAACATACCTTGAGATTAAGAAAAGAGCGCAGTCGGAAGAAACAACGGAGAGAGCTATGAAGAAAAGGGTTGAAGACGATGGATTAGGGCAAGGAGGAGGTGAATTTATAGGAGGCGATTGCCGATTGGAAGGGGTAAGATCCAAAGAAGGAAACGAATTTTATGGCGGTTCTTGATTTGCAAGCCACGAATTTGGGGTTTGCTTCTATTGGGTTCTAGGAGCTTCCGGAGAACGGAGACCTTTATTTGGTAATTGCGTCCTGATGACACGTCTATATATTCCAAGGTAAATCGACATTTCTTTCGTTAAAAAAAATATATATATATATATCTACACTTTGTCGATGTTTTCATATTTTATTTGTCAATTAAATATTTTTTTTTATGCTTTTATAATTTTTAAGAGAAATGATACTGATATTTCTATGAAATTGAGACCTCGGTATTTCTATCGACACTTTGATAATTAAAACATTCGTCATACGTGCTGGCGTTTTACTTATTGGTTAAAAAATTATTTTGATCCATGTATTTTCAGTGTTGGATAATTGTGATCCCGTACTTTGAAAATGTTCATTTTGATTTCTGTACTTTAAACTTTGGTTGTCTATGTACTTTCAAAATGTGTATTTGGTACCTGTATTTTTTAAAAGTGATTATTTTGGTCCCTTAATTTTATTCTTAATCTTATTTTTTTATATCACAATTTTAACCCAACGCTAAAATCAATATATTTCTTAAAGTGTAAATATTATTTTATATTAAAGAGTTTTCGTTAGATGTAAAATTAGTATTAAAATTTTACAAAGAATAACTAAAATGATCCCTCTATTGGAAGTAAATGAACTAAAATGATGAATATTTTATAAAACATGTTTTGCCTTGAGTTATTTTCCTTTTGTCATTCCTTAAATCCAAGTTTAATTTTGAAAGAGATAAAAATAAAAAAAAGGTGTTTCCACAAAAATCTTCATTTCTTTTGTATAATATAGATATTTTAAAAGGAATTTTAAAAATCATACAGTGGAAATTGAGAATTCGATGGTTGATTTTCCAAATATTCATGAGGCACTTTAACTTATTTTTGGTAACCAAAGTAAATTTAAATAATTAAAATTTTCTTAATGGCTTTAGGTCTTCATTATTTGACTAAGAATAATGATCATGAGATATTTAAAAAATATAAATAAATTTCTTTTTCTTTTTCTTTTCCGCATGCACAAAAGACCCCAAACTCAAATCATTTTATGCAGATCAAATTTATCCATGAATTTGGGTGACTAGTCACACCCTGTAAATCAAGATTGATGACGACTCCATTTTTTCGTCACAGGAAGAAAGTCGCGCGATCCACGTCGCAAACCCATAACGACACGGTTAATGTGAGAAATTTCTAATGATAACGACATCTACTCCTAACTATTTCCTTTGATTGGAGGTTGAAATCTCCACATCCACAAATTTGTTGTACTAAAAAATAAAGTTGTATTAAGGAAAATCTGTTTCGACCTCTCCTATATCAAAGTAATGGTAGAAATTGAACTTTTTTCAATTATATTTAAATTTTCTTCGTGTTTCGATCAAGTAAAAGGCAAATGAAATAAATTTAATTTCATTCCAATTAACTTATATTTTATGGAAAGACCATCAAATTTCCACCAAGTTAAAGTCTATCAATTTGCTGTGGTTTTTGCCCTCAATATTTAATGGTGCGATCAAGTTGAAAAATCTCATCAACTCACTTTCTTCCTCCAAAAACAAAAAAGATTGATAATAGACATTATAAAATATAATCATTGAGACCAAATATTAAGCATTTGTTTTCGTTGCATATAAAATTAAACATTTATTTCTGGTGTTTAATTTTTTTTTAGCTTAAACTTTGAAAAACTTTACAAAATATATAGTTACTTAACAAACGAAAAAACACAGTTAGATAGGCAAAATACAAAATAAATAGATTATTAAATCAAAACCAGCGTAGCGCAGCGGTAATTATCTCCAACCAAGAGATTGTGAGTTTGATCTTCCACCTCCACATATTGTATTAAAGAAAAAAACAAAATAGATCAAAACAAGCGTTCATTTATTTATTTGAACATGAGTGGTTCAATGGAGTCTCACATACTAATGTAGGCAAAGAGAAGAGAAAATTTAGAAGATATTAGAGAGCTAGGGGGAGATAATATTTTTTCTAAAAAAAAAATATTAGAGAGATAATCGTATATCTGGCGACGCACCAAATTAATAATTATTTGAGAATCAAAGTTGAGACGATTAGCTTGACTCTAATTCACGCTTTCTCTTTTCTATCGGTAGTGCAGTGGCTTTTGCTTAAGCTTTCTCTTTCCCTTCCTTAAAAGCTGCTAGTGTTTTCTCTCTCTCTTCCTCGATCATTTTGGACCAGATCTCTTTCACTCTCCCTTCCACAAAAGCTGCTAGTGCTTTCTCTCTTTCTTCCGAAGTCATTTTGGACCATATCTCTTTCACTTTCCCTTCATTAAAAGCTGCTTGTGTTTTCTCTCTCTCTTCCGGGGTCATTTTGGACCAGATCTCTTTCACTTTCCCTTCATTAAAAGGGGCTTGTGTTTTCTCTCTCTCTTCCGGGGTCATTTTGGACCAGATCTCTTTCACTTTTCCTTCATTAAAAGCTACTAGTGTTTTCTCTCTCTCTTCCGAGGTCATTTTGGACCAGATCTCTTTCACTTTCCCTTCATTAAAAGCTGCTCGTGTTTTCTCTCTCCTCCGGGGTCATTTTGGACCATATCTCTTTCCCTTTCCCTTCCCTAAAAGCTGCTAGTGTTTTCTCTCTCTCATCCGGGGTCATTTTAGACCATATCTCTTTCGCTTGCTCAAGAAATGCTTCTACTTTCTCTTTGACTTGTTCCACTGCCGCTCCACTGTCAAGATTAAGATACATTAATTTTTATTCAAGAGTGAAAGAGCAGTCTAATTAGTAATTAAATCAAATCAATTACCTCGCATCTTTTCCAGAAGGTAAATGATCTTCGCAGCTGCATTTCTCCAGACAAATCCCCATCGCAAGAACCACCCACAAAACTACCACAACCGACGTCGTTCTGATCATCGCCATATCTTTGTAAAAAAATAATTATCCAAATAAATCGAAAGCTTATGAATGTAGACGAGAGAAGCATTGGGTTTTATAAGTGAGACAGTTAGGAGTGGGGGCTAGTATATATGGCACGTGATGGCTATTTGACCTCATCAATCTCCACATTTCATGGGGCTCACTTCTAATATTACTGTGAAATGTGCTTTTCCCCTCCACAACATCAGCCAAACCATTCATTACTTCTTATTCTCTAAAAACTATTTTCTTCCCTAAAATACATGTTTGGTCAAGGTTTCTATTTTTCCATATTTTCCTTTTAATTTATGTTATGGAGAACAAAAACGACCCGAGAGACAAGGAGTTGAAGCCTGAGATCATTGATTGGGGGAGACCGGCCCATGACGTAACGAACCGGCCCAAAGAACGACCTAGCGCCGGGGCAGAGAACTAACCGGGCTGAGAGGGCTCGGTCCCGACCCCTGCTCGGCCCACGGCCCAGCCCATGAATCTCCCGCCTACGATCTACAATACCTCGGGCCCTACAACGCCGAATTAAGGTTTGGCTACGGAGGTTTTGGAATCATCCTCACGGCTATAAGTAGGATCCAACCCTGAAGAGGCAGGTGACTAATCCTTAGTTAATTATTTTTTCAACTCTCCCTTGCTAACTTAAGCATCGAAGCTCGTGTGACTAAGGTCACACCGGTTTAGATCGGTTTGATTTTGCAGGTATCGGTTCCCTTATCATCGAGTTTGGTGTGTGCGAGAAGAAGAGACGGAGGGTCAAAATCCACGCATCAACAATTTACAACTAAGGTACTAAACTTAACTGAACACTTTTTAATATATTTCTAAACTTTTAATTGATATTTTTTTAAACAGTGAAGATATTTTACTTTATTTATAATAAGTCTACGTTGTTTATTCCATCAAGTTTAAACTTACATCCTACCACATTGAATAATATTATCGAAGGAAAACTAGTTTGGTTAAGTTTCAAGTAAGTTTAGATGTTTGGTAGTGTTGGGGGGTGACTGTGCGCGGCCGACCTGGGCGTGACCGTACCAAAAAGGTCGACCTGTAGGTCGGCCCCAACGACGAACAGATGGAAGAACCGCACGATCACATGTACTAGAGCAGGGATCGGACCGGTCACTGCCAGCGACCAACGATCCCTCGCCAAGCTCCTCACCGAGCAGGGAAATACCCTGCTGGGACGTATATTTGCCCACCTTCCACTGTAAATATGTCACTCCCATGAGCCCAGGTATGAAAATCTGTCTAATTCTCATCTATTGAGTTCAGTTTGAATACTAACTCAGGCGTCGGAGTGGTCGCCTCCTTGCAGGTATCCGGAAAACTGCTTAAGTGCTGACGGTCGACCTCCGAGGTCATCTTCTATACCTCGACCAAATCTTGCATCAACAAGTAGTAGTATAAACTTTAAATTAACCGTGTTAATCACATAAAGTATGTTAGACGCAAATTTTAAAGTTCAACGGTACATTAAAAAAATTATAAAAGGATGAAATGTACAAGAATGAGTTTTAAAGCACTACTCTTTTAGCATGTGCATCGCACTTGGTCTTTTTTTTCCATATATTAAATTAAAGTTTGTTTTTAAAAAAAGAAGTTGAGTTTGTATTAAATAATCTTATTGTTTATATTGATAATAAAATAAACTGTTTATAAAGTAACGAGTCATTTTTTCCAAAACAATTTTATAATTATTCTTCTTAAGATAACTATATAATAGTTTTTAAAATAAATAGCTTAAAATTTTATTAAACTATTTATTTAAGCACGTGCAATACATTAAATTTTTTTAATCCAACTGAATAAATGTTTTAGAAAAAAATATGAAAATTTTTCTATTTAAAATATGGATAATTGAGTTCTTTTTCATTCAAGGGGATAATTAAAGTTTCTTTTTTCAAACAACCAACTCGTTAGATTTTTATTTTGCAAATAATGACTAAAATTATCCTTTCTTTAAAGTACATTTTCATAGTATAAGTACTAAATTGAACCAAAGTTTAAAGTACATAAACTAAAACGATCACTTTAGTTATTCTTTGCAAAATTTTAACTCAAAGTTTACACCTAACGAAAACTCGTTAATATAAAATTATGTTTACATTTTAAGAAATGTCCTGATTTTAGTGTTGTGTTGAAACTGTGATATAAAAAATGAGATTAAGAATAAATTAAAGGACCAAAATAGTCATTTTTTTAAAGTACAAGACCAAAATTAACATTTTGAAAGTATATAGACTAAAATGAATCAAAATTCAAAGTACAGAAACCAAAACGAACATTTAAAGTACGGAGATCAACATGATCAAAGACTAAAAGTACCTGACCAAACTAATATTTTAATCTTATTTATTTATTTTATTTTATTGTCAAATAAGAAAAAAACTATGGTATAGAATATATTTTTGGTCCATGATATTTGAATAATAGGTAGATTTCATCCCTATATTTCAAAATCTTACAAAACTCCTTGCTTGGCATTAGATTGTTATCATGCCGTGGCAATAAATATAGTTCACATTAGGTTCTTAAAATTAAAGAAATAAATAAATAAAACTCTTTCCTCTCATCTCCCATGTTTTTCGTTTAGTACAATAAATATTAAATATGTGGGGTGAAAACTCGAATCTTCAATATTAAATAATGGAGTTATATGTCTTTATTTTGGGAATTTCAATTTTATTTATGAGATTTAAAATGAGAGAAGAAAATGGATGTGCAAATAAATTGTGAATTTATTTGATTATTTAGTAAGTATGGTTTATTATTAAAGGTGTTTCTAGCGTGTCAAAGAAGTAATAGGTTCAAACAAATATAAATCTCATAGAGTGACGTCAAGACACAAAAGCAATAAAGTAACTTGTCATACCTTAGAAACGAGACACGGTATATCAATTCATTTATGCAAACTAGTTTGTAACACATGTCATGCTCGTGATAGGTAGAAGATTGCAAAGTAGTAGTGTTATATTTTTATTCTAAAATATAGCTATATTAAAGAGTTCAATCCGGCATTAAATTTTAGAAAAAACATAATTATAAAATTAGTCTTTCCAATTATAAAGGAACTTTAGAATCGGTAAACTTGATACCTGTGTTGAGATTATTTTGTTGAAACATCTCCATCTTTCGTTTTAATACATTGCTATATAATTGGTAAAGAATGCTTACTAATAATATCAATTGGATGTTTTTTTTTTCTTGAACAAGGGTGTTGGATATACATCATCTAGCTTATCGTTTCAACCTCATTGCTTTTGAGCACATTGGTTGACAAAATAATACGGTAGCTAATTTCCTTGAAAAAAAATAGTCCTACTAATATTTTATCTTTGTATTTATTGTTGGACTTCATACTCTTTTCCGCTTTGGTTATCTATCATGCTTGAAGATGAAAGACTTGTTGATGTAGCCAATTTAGTAGTGTCCCCGGTTATTATTTAATTGAAGTGACTTTTGTATGGAAAAAAAAAAGCTAGTACCTTGCTATTCATATGAAAAAAAAAATTAGTGTGCTACTAAATCTAGAAACTTCAGAAAAATTAAATTAAGAAAATAAGAAAAGTACACTAAAAATAAAACGTAAAGTTTTGTGAAAAGAAAAATAACATGCAGCTGCTTATATAATTGCAGCAGTCGAAGACGATGAAACTACTAAAATGTTGTTATTAATTATAACAAAAAGTAAATTCATAAGCGAGTCTACCTCAACAGTAATTAGTTTATATCTCCAACTACATGTTGTACTAAAAAAGATAAGCAATTAATAATATATGAAAAAATGTAAAAGATGTTACGGGAAAAAACAATAAGTGAGGTGATATTTTAATTATTTTCAGTGAATGTGGTATAGGGTGTGTGCTTATCACCACAAATACGCCTCCACATTTGAGCATAAGAAGCAATTGCACAAAAGAACAACTGGAATATATAAGAATATGTATGATATAGATAGCTAAACACAAAACAAAGTATAAAGATAGAAACTTTTCTTCATATTCCACTCAGAAGAAACTTAAAATTAAATAGAGAAAGAGTAATAATATCAATGACAACAACAATTAATTTGAAAGGAAATGTGAGCAAATAATCAGTAAATTTGGTGAAGCAAAATAAGGGAATAATGCACAACCACTCTCTCCATGATCAAGGAGATTGGCAAAATCTGATTAGTCTCAACATGGTACTGCGGCTTACAATTGCAATTAAAAAAATATAGTTTTCCGTCGTGATGATAATGGATACCAAGCTAGATGAAGGTGAAGCATGAGAAGCTCTTTACCGAATTAGTCTAATCCCTTCATCTAACATTTGCGATATTGAACAAATTGTTGAAGAAAAAAGATAAAAGCTATGTGTGTATAAAGTGAATGAAGGATGAATCTTTTTATAGTTGTATGTTGGAGGAATAATAAAAATTTTTGGTATTACTAATTCTTTTTAAATTCCATGAAGTATATAAATAAATGTAAAACTATCCGCATTCTTCCTTCCTAAACTTCCTTCATTTGTCACTAATTATAAGGGAGCAACAAAAATTAGAAAAAAATAAAAAAATAAAAAATATAGATAAATCCCAAGTAGACCTTATCAGTGGTCAGGAGCTATAACAAATGCTATCTCGCTAAGTAGTAGCACAAATATAAACATAACTTTGAATAAAATGTAAAATAATTTGGATTGGATAAAAAGCACCCCCATATATCTTGGAATTACGTTCTCTTCCAATAAGAGAAATCTAGATAGCCAAAGCAATCTTTCACTTTATATTTAGGTGAACAGTTTCTACTAATACGACGTATTCATGTCAAGTTTGTATCTCATAAGCAAATACAATGCGAGGAGCCCACTAACTCAATCATACACCCTATATAATTTTGCTAAACATGCACAAATAAAAGAGGGTCCCAAATCTGAATCTCATCAAAACATAAAACACACATACTGAAGTAGAAGGACACCAATAACGTATACAATTGTGAGTCGAAGAGGTGATCATAAATAGTCAACCAACTCAAAAGAAAATGGGTTAGAGATACAGACCAATTCATAGATTTGTTAAAAGAAAGAGTATAATAATTTAAGAATTGTTAATAGAGGAGCCTGATAATTTGACAAAGCTAGTCTTAGCAATTACTACATTTAAATAAAAAATAAGATGCGTAATTAAGATCGTGTTCGGCTAAAAATGTTGAAAGTAAAACCTACAATTTCAACGTAAATAAATAATAAGGTGATGTCAAAGCGATTATAACTCAACCATAATCCACATAAGAGCGTGAACTCAGATTTGCTGTCCAAATAATGTACTGAAAAAAAAGTAATTTTCTTATCAATAAAAGAAAAAACGAAAAAATTAGCATAGTTCTTTTTAGGGAAAACAGACAATAGTGACTACGAAGTTTCCTTTCCATCCACTTTCTCACACCGGAACCGCCTTCGCCGTCGGCCGCGATCTTCGTTTACCGACTCAGTTTCCGTCATCCGATCGCCGGAACTGTAAGTTTCAATCTCTGCGCACAAATACGTTTTCGACGCTTCATCTTCATCCATCCATTAGCTTCAAAATCAAATTCATTTACTGTACAAATTTGATGAAATCTCAATTTTGATATCGAACCCAATAACACACCACAATCTACCAGTTCTAACTCTGAACTTCTTCACTGGTGTAGCGACGACTGGCACAGCGTCTGGGGAAAACACTCCTTTGAGCTCAGTTCGGATCAATCATGCCTCCCGCTGGTCCTCGATCTGGTGATGCAATCTTCGCTAGCGTTGAGCGAGTGGTAAGCTTCTCAACTTCAAGTCTCTCTGTAGTTTTCTCTGTTCCTGCTGTTTGGTTTCTGAGGAATTCTAAGAAAATGTGAGGGAAGAGGTGAAATTTTGATCAATTGTATCGGAAATGATGTCTGTTCTTGATCAGGATTTGCATTTAATTGTCAGCTATGAGAATGCCCAATTTCTAGGTCTTGATTTCGTTTATTTTTTGGGGCTAAAAATTTAATTGATATAGAATGCGGAGCTGTTTACCTTGACTTATGGAGCAACTGTTCGTCAATTGCTTACGGATCTGGAGGAGGTTGAGGAGGTCAACAAACAGCTCGATCAGATGTAATTTTATTCCACTTCACGAGCTTTTTGATCCAACTCGTTTTTCATAGCTTATAATTTTGCTTGTTCCAAAGTTGGTTTTTGTTTTTTTTTTGTCTGAATGATTGATGGATTTGGTTTCGCAGTTCATTTTGGTCTTTGATTTATGATTCTTTTCGTTGCTCAATTGCTCTCTCATCCTTGTATGATCTCATGTGAAGCTGAAGGCAGTTACAGATTGTGTAGCTCAAAGAAATTTCTGGTTGTCTGTTTTTCTAAACAAGATACGACTCAATTTTTGTAAAGTGTTTTATCGAATTATGTTATGCAAAGTTCTTTACAAGAAACACATAGGTGGAATAGTTTTTGGAAGCTTAATATTCAGAAACGAAAACAAAAAAACAAAATGATTTTCAAGGGGGCAAAGCATTTCTTTTTCCAGTTAAATTAAATACTTTCTATATTCATTGATGACAGTTCTGTGCTTAAACTTAATAATGTCCTTGAGACAACACACATTAGATTTGCTGATCTGACTGTTTCTTTAAATATTTTTCAGGGGTTATAACATTGGAATCCGACTGATCGATGAGTTTCTAGCAAAATCTAATATCTCCAGATGTGTTGACTTCAAAGAGACAGCTGAAGTAATTGCGAAGGTAGGTTGTAGTTGAATACATATGCCAAAGTATTTTATTTTTTCTGAAAGCGAACATGAGACTGTTGAAGTAGCTTTCCCTGTCATTCCCGTACTTGATTGTCACAATTCATATTAGCTATTAGTATCTAATTCCTACCTAGTTTTGGAAACCTCTATTGAAGTCTCGTTGGTTGTTACTTGGTCCTGTCCAACCTTTCTGGTTTGCCTCTGTCTGTAGAACACCACTACTTTTAGTGCTAGGAAAATTTATAGACCAAAAATAGGATATAAGCTAAAAAAAAAGTTGTACCTACAATTAAGTGGTAGTTTTGAGGACAGTGTATGTATATTCTGATGCAAATGCAATAGGCTTTTCAATTGATGTATCGTACATGGTCCATATGCATTTCTGATACCATTGAGTTTTAATGACTTAACTATGAACAAGATTTCTCATATATAATATAACTTTGGATGCAAGTCTTAATCACTTTGGGTTGGAGTGGGTGAAGCCTCTTAAAAGTAGTGGGGTAGGCTATGAGCAAACTAGATGCGGGGCACTCCGATACTCCGGTTATGAAACCAAAAAAAAAAAAGAAAAAAGAAGTTACTTCTTATAATTTTACTTCTATTCATCTGACATTGACTAGATCTTCATGTCCATTTGGACTTTTTTTTCCTTTTCCTTTCAATCTAGGTGGGTTTAAAAATGTTTTTGGGTGTGAATGCAACGGTGACCAACTGGGATGCTGAAGGCACCTGCTGCAGTATAGTTCTGGAGGACAATCCATTGGTAGACTTTGTAGAGCTTCCTGATACTTGTCAAGGTCTTCATTATTGCAACATCTTAAGTGGAGTCATTAGAGGAGCACTTGAGATGGTGAGTCTTCTGCATATGTTTTTAGTCTTGCTTAATCGTCTACCATTCATTTTTCCTTTGACTTTCATTTCATGTTTCTTTGAAGGGAAATGTTTTGCCAGTGCTGTGAATTATGATCTTGAAAAACTTTTGTGAGGTCTTTTATGCTGAGGCTGATTTGGTTTGTGTTTAATCAGTCTCTGAAGTTTAAAATGTGCCTGGTATTCAAACTTTCAATTTTGTTTCTAATAGATCATTGTAATAATCAATATTCTTAAAAATTCACAAAATTCATAAATTTATTAGGCACAAAATTGAAAGTTCAAGATCCTACTGGATAAACAAAACCTCCATTTTATGTGTAGTAGAGTAGATTCATTGATTTTAAAAGGACTGAATATGTTAGAGATCTATTAGACACAAAATAATAATTACATAACTTAAAAGTTTAAAGATTAAACTTATAATTTAACCTAAAAATGTTGAAGTTGCTTGATTTTTACTGTGGTTGGGGCCAGGTGTCAATGAAAACAGAAGTGACATGGCTACGCGACATGCTGAGAGGAGACGACACGTTTGAACTACAAGTAAAACTCCTCAAGCAAGTCCCTGAAGAGTACCCCTACAAAGACGACGAGTAAGCAATTTCCATATCTACGTAAAAGAATAACTCTTATTTTACTAGTTTTGCTTCCTGTCTGTGTTCATTTGGTCTGAAAAAGATAGCTATATTCTCTGATTCCTTGAACCAACTTTTAATCTTAATCCCAAGTTATATATATAGTCTTTTTGCTATTTGTAGTTTCTTATGAATGGATTTATGTCTTTTATAGGCCAAATATACCAAATAGTCTATCATCTTTAAGCTTATTACCAAGGTAAATTCAACAAGGGGTAATTCACACCGTCATATTTGCAAATATAGCAACAAAATTACAACTGTGCAAATATGAAAATTTTTCACGTATTGATTTAGGCATTTTTACGTAGTTCTATTTTTCTTCTCGTGTATCACTCTTGTGCATCTATCATCACTGTATCGTCTATCGCTGATAGGCGTTGCAAGGTTGTTTTAATCTTTTCAGTGAATTAGTTTCGGTTTTTTTTTAGCATATCTATAATGTTTGTGGCTATATTTACAATTAGTTGGGTTTGTTTGGCCATATATGTAACCGCTCCTATTATCAATTTGGTGTTTTATCGTTTAAAACTCTCAATTAGATCCTTAATATTCAACAACATAAAAAATATCCCTTACACAGAGGCAGGCCACTTAAAAAGGGAAATTGACAAGTTTTTGGAATGCTATGACCCAACTTCTTTAATTGGACTTTGGAATGCTCAAATGACCCAATTAAAGACCCAACTTCTTTAATTGTGTCCAAATGACCCACTTTAATATTTAATTGAATTTAAATTGAAAGGAAATTACACTGTTACCTCTAAGTTCAAAAATCAAACCTTTCGTCCCTTTGTCTTCTCCTTCAAATTTCTTCTCCGTTTCCCTTTAAGGTAAGTTCGATTTCTGTTAATTTTTGTTATTTTCCATTTATTTTCCATTGATTTGAATGTTGAGGGAATATTTAATGAAATTTAAATTGAAAGGAAATTACACTGTTACCCCTAAGTTCAAAAATCAAACCGTTCGTCCCTTTGTCTTCTCCTTCAAATTTCTTCTCCGTTTCCCTTCGAGGTAAGTTCGATTTCTGTTAATTTTTTGTTATTTTCCATTGATTTGAATGTTAAGGGTTTTAATTTTCATCGCTGTTGAGCAGTTGAATGTTAGGTTTCTTCGTCAATTTTGTTTTTCGGTGTTTTTTTTAATGAATGAAAACATGAATAACATTACATCGATTTATGTTTCGTTTCTCGTGTATTTCATTTTTCGAAAAATAGGAAGACTATTTACTCTTTGTTTCGTTCATTGTTTTTGGTTCTTTACTGTATTTTATGTGAAATTGAGTTATGTTGTCTCTGTGTGTTAGGTTTGTTTGAGAAATATTTGTGGTGGGAGGTTGAAGAAGAAGGGTGAACTCGGGCAAAGTGGGATAGATCTCGCGTGAGGTTGAAGAAGTTCCAAACCTGGCTCGAGGTTTCTAAGTCTCTGTCCAATTTCTCGGGAACGACCTCGAGCGAGGTGGGCYTGAGGGAATTCAAAGACACACAACCTCGCTCGAGCTTTCTAACCCTCTGAAATATTCCATGGGGCTATCTCGCCTGAGGTTGAGCCCGAGAAATTCGACAGAGGCTTAGAAACATCGAGCTAGGTATTTGAAAGTCGCTCGAGGGTTTGTGCCCTCTTTTATTTTTCTCGGGTTCGACCTCGGGCGAGGTCGATCCCGAGGTATTCGGAAGAGGCTGAACCTCGAGGTTGAGCCCGAGGTTGAACATATTTCAAACACCTCGGGCTCAAACTTGACCAAGATTATCCTGGGAAATTTTCCAGAGTGTCCAAAACCTTCCTAAATCCTAAACCACGCTTGAGGTTATTCCCACTTTGCCCGAGTTTAGTCTTCTTCAACCTCCGACATTTCAACAAACATTACACCAACACCACACAGAAGAACCATAGAGAAAGCAAAAAAAAAATCAAGAACAAATAAACAAAGTAGATTTCCTTCCCTAAAATGAAATCCAAGTTGATGGAAAACTAAATTGATGCAATATCATTCACGTATTTCTTCATCTAAGCACCAAAAAACATAATCAATGGAAAAAAATACGATTAACTTCTCATACGAAATCAAAAACCGGTCTTAATCTTCAAAATCGATCGCCCACTATATACCTTAACAGAAATCGAACTTAGAAGAAATCTCGAACAGTTTCTTTTTTGAATTGAGAGGTACTAATGTAATTTCCTTTCAATTTAAATTCAATTAAATATTAAAGTAAGTTATTTGGGCACAATTAAAGAGGGTGAGTCATTCGAGCCTTTCAAAAACCTTTGAAGGTTATTTGTATCAATTTTTYCTTAAAAAACAATGGATTTGGTTAATGGGGGTTAAATTTTGCTAATAAAGAGTTAAGTTTGATGTGACAAGTCGCATCATAATAGGTTACTAAAATAATAATTTAATAATCTTGTGTACAAATTTTTTTATAGCATGATCTAATAGAGAATTTTTAACACAATAAAAAAATTGATTAAAAAATTAAGGATTGGATCAACTAAAATATGTTGTGAGTTGATCCTTTATCCCCGTATTACAAAAAAAAAAAATTAATTAATTATTAAATTATTTGGTAATATTTAGTTTTTTTATTGATTGGGTCCCAGTATAATACAGCAGCTAGCAGACCTTGGATTTCGTGAGTGACGTCATGAGCGTGACGTCTTTTTTTTGTTTCTTACGCCATCTTAAAAATTTTCAAATTATTGCTTCTTTTCTTTGACGACTTTTTCTCCCAGCTTTTTTTTTCTCCATTTGTAACTATTTTACTTTTATTCTTTTATTTATTTATTATTATTATTATTTTTTAAGAAATAAGTTGTCAAATACTACTTCGATTATCTTATTTGTTCTCCTCTCTTAAAACTTTTCATAAGCTGAGTTAGATTTTTAAAGATTTTTTAAAAGTTGTTTGTTTTAAACACAAATAATTTTTTAAAATAAAAAATGAAATCGTTAATAAAATGATCAATTTATTTTGTTTTTATTATCTACTCTAGCCAGGTCCCCACCTAAATAGGGATATATTATATTATGTATTTAAAGTTGTTTCATTTATTTTAATATATGGTGTTAGACTCAGGACTTGGATTATGATTTATGAACCGATTTTCAAATATGGTTTTTACTTTTTTTTTTTTTAATTATTCTCTCTACACTTTTTTTCCTTTCAAAATAACTAACTTTTGATTAAGGGTTACCATGGCTAGTACACTCACTAAAATCGTCTATCTAACTTATATACCCATGAATCTTTATCTTATGGGGTAAGTTTTAGAAACTTATTTTCATACATGTCTAAAGATTTCGAATTTTACACTTTTAGATTTCTGTATTTCGTAATATCGATTTTACTCTTATTTATTATAGTTATTTTTTTAAAATCTAAAATATTGAAATCCCTAAATTGTAATCATATTCTTTTAATTATTGTGGGTCTCACACAACTTTTCAACACTAATCCCTTAATTCACTCATTCAAAAAGATTTATTCCCATGATTTACCAATATTATTAATTACAAAAATATTATAATTCGTCTCTCTCATGTAATTTTCCATTGGTTGTCGGAAGTCACTGTAGTTAATTCACTCACTCTCGTGTATCTAACTTATATACCCATGAATCTTCATGAGTAAGTTTTAGAAATTTATTTTCACACAAGTCTAAAGATTTCCAATTTTACACTTTTAGATTTCTGTAGATTTTTTTGTAATATCAATTTTACTCTTATTTATTACATTTACATTTATTATAGTTATTTTTTAAAAATCTAAAATTGGATATCTTACAATTATGTTCAAATTGCTTACAACTATCTCTTTAGTTAATACTCTAATTCAAATTAGTTAATACTTACCACTATGTTTCAAAAAAAAAATTTGATTCTAACTAGTTCTCTATTTTATTCAATATACCCAACTCGACTCAAAATTCACTATAAGATATATCCTCATATATACAATAGTTCACACCTAAATTTTGCACCACTAAAATCATAACAGTACAAAAACAACCATTGAAGATATATTGGTATGGAAAGGGTTTCGAAGGGGTTTAACAATAAAAAAAAATCAGGGTTTTCAACATTGTTCAAATCTAAAATCAAAAACTAGGAGGATATATTGGAATGCAAAATATATGGAAGTTTATATGGTGAGACAAAACAAACCTTCCAGTCAGCGACTAGACAATGGTTGGGATAAACGAAAACGAATGAGAAGCTAGACGGACTGCTCTAGCGACGGAGAAGAAGTAGCAGACGGAAACCGAATGACAGAGGAAGAATAATAGTTGACGGACTGCTCCAATGATGAAGAAGAACAGAGACAACAACCGAAGAAGAAGGAACGCGTACAGCAGTCGGAGACGAAGGAACGGACGGAAAAGGAACGACAGAGGAAGAAGAAAAGTTGGAGGAATGAGGTTTTCGAATTTTTTCAATAATGGATAATTTTGGGGATTTGGTATTAGTATAATTAGGAAAGATTTAAGTGATTTAAATTGTAGTAACTCAATTTGGATTTTAAAATTTAATTACTACATATACAAAAGGATATAATAGTAATTTGAGTGATAGATATCATCTTAAATTAAATAGGAATTTTATACATGCAAATCTTTTATGTAATTATAGTGTCTATCAATGTACTAATCCGTCTAATAAATGTGTGACTAGGTATATTTTTCACATCATACTCTTTGTTACTTTCAATTGGACCCTTTGTCCTAACATGGAAGTGCAGGTGACTCAGGTTCATCCGCTATTTGAAACTTTTTGAACTAGATGGTCTAAATTGAAATTAAACTGAATTATAAAAGAAATATTAAAATCTTAAAACTACATCCACCCAATTAAAATTTGGCGATTTGAATCATCTGGTCAACGGCAAATAAAAGGTCAATTATTTTGTGGTCATTTCCTTCTCAGCAATCTTTTTTTGCTTTACTATCCCCAACAATAATTGTACCTCCTCTGTTCTCAACATCTCAATTTCTACTTTTTCTTCCACCGGAAAACATGACGGAAGCCGGCGGTTGCGGCCGGTGCTGCTTCAGCTTCATCTTGACTTCCGGCTTCACAGCTCTGTTCTTATGGCTCAGCCTCCGCACCCACAAACCCAAATGCTCAATCGAATCTTTTTACATTCCTGCGCTAAATCAGTCCCTAAATTCCTCCTCAGATTCCACCGTCTTCTTCGATCTGCGCCTCAAAAACCAGAACAAAGACAAGTCCGTCTTCTACGACGCCATCAATCTCAACCTCACCCTCGTCGACGGCGGGCGGCGGCCGGTCGGCAACTTGACGGTGGCCGGATTCCACCAGGGCCGCGACAAGAAGGCGTTCAGGAAGGGGCAAGTCGAGGCTCGTGGAGTGGATTGGAAGGCGGTTCGGCGGAATGGATCGGCGGTTTTCCGGCTGGATTTGGCGACGGCGGTCAGGTACAAGATCTTGTTTTGGAAGACGAAGAGGGATAATTTGAGGGTTGGGGCAGAGGTCAAAGTCAACGCCCAGGGTGCCAAGGAATACCCGCACGGGATTACGCTCAGCTCCGGCGCCGCCGTGGCCGGCAGATCGCCGGCGGGAGCTCTGTGGAGCGTTGGGGCGTTGATATTGTGGAAGTTCTGGTGAAATTAGGGGTTTGTTTTACTATTTTTTCTTCTGCTGTTATTGACCGGAATGTTGGGCGGCGTTATTTGATTCATCGGAACTGTCTCCACCGCCGACGGCGGCGAAGCAGATGTAGAGGGAGAGTTTAATTTTTTTAAGGGCTTTTTGGAGAGAAGTTTGCTCTGTTATGGTTCCTAATTTTTAATTTAGTTTACAATCTTTTAAATGTTTTTCTTAAATAATTCTACATTAATTTTGTTAATAACAGCTCCATAAAGTAATTCTTTTTAATGTTACTAATTGAATTAAATTTTACATTTAGTTAATAAAATATTAATTTAACAATGTCTCAATTTTCACCGGTAATTGCTCGTAAAAAAAGAATGTGTCAATTTTTAAAAATATTTTTATATGCAAGGACCTAATTTAGAATTTTGATAAAGATAAAATTTTAAAAATTTTAGAAAATTTAAAACCGATAAGAAAATCACTTCAACCAAACGTTAGGAATATTTTATATATTTAACTTTGTTTTAGGCCTCGACATACATCGGAGGCATTCAAAAATATTTTAAATTCCTTTCTCAATTTATGAATTTTTAACATTTTTACGGTAGACCAATTTGAGCATAACTGTTTTGCTTAGACACAATCTGACGTAAATTTATATCTAAAAGATCGTAGGTTTGAATTCTAATTCCCACATGTTTTTGTAGTTTTTGATTGGAGTGAAGTATTTTCATTTGTGAGTATCTTCTTTCTTATTTTCTTGTATATATGTATGTATCTATATATATGTATCTCAAGGAGAAAGACCACCTATTTACTCGAGAGGTAGTGGAGGCCAACTAACAATTCTAGAAAATGAGTTTACTTATTGATCCAAGTATTAAAATCTTCTATAGATTGGGTTACTTGCTTAAAATCTTATTAAAATGAAAACGGAAACATGGAGTTCCAAAAATGTGGTTTTACGTTTTTTCTCTTTTATCAGTTTTTCCTTTTTTTCCCTTTTAGGTTGTGAATGGACTGCATCAATTTCCCTCCTGTTGGAGAGGATTCGGCTTCAACAACAAGATCCACCAAACAAAAACAGAAGAATAGGAAAAAACGTAACATAAAAGTTTCTAACTTTCTCAACTACAATGAAAAGTCTTTAATTTACCATGAATAGGCTCTTTGGTCAAAATCTCATGTCAGTCACCCGCATATCAATGTCTTTAAGCCGAATTATAACTACATTTTTGTTTTACATACATTTATTCCCTAAAATTTGAAATTTATTTTTCCTAGTACAATAATATATGAGTTAGTCAGAATACATGTCTTAACCAATTTAATTAGATTGAAAAATACTACACTCATTGGAAAAGGGACGTGATCACTTTAGGTGGTAATTTAGGGATGATAGGACAATATTTATTTATTATATAAGTAATTTATTAAATGCGGCTTTTTTTTAATATATTTTTCTCTTTTATTCTCTCTTCCCCTTCAGTTTCCCTCCAACAAGTGTTGCTGTCGCAATCTTCCCTTCAGGTCACTATTTTTCTACACTCGACCAAACGTATATTTTACCCTATTTTATTTCTATCCAATATCTTTATTTTTAATTTAGATTAAATTATAAATTTAGTTACTAAATTTTTATTGTGGTGTGTTTTTTCTTATAATTATTATTCAATAAAATGATTCAAACTTATTACTTGTCCAAAAGTGTATTTTACCTCATTTTATTTCTCTCTCAATATCTTTATTTTTAATTTAGATTACATTATAAATTTAGTTACTAAATTTTTATTGTTGTATGTTTTTTCTTATAATTATTATTCAATAAGACGATTCAAACTTATGATTTTTAGTTAGTTCAACCTGATAGTTATTTATTTATTTATATTAATTTCATTCTCAACCTCCAATCACCTCTAAACTATAATCGGACTTCAAATAAATTTCAAATTTCAAATTTCAAATTCCAATCATATGGGTTGATTTTGGACACAAAAGCATCTCAATCTATCATATCTTTAAACTCTACTTTCTCATTTCACATGTTAAAATGTCTCCTAATGATTTTGGTGGAGACCAAACTACCCAACCAAAAGTGGGATGGTCTTGAGAATGTTTTGAAACATTTTCTACTTTCAATTTTTTTGTTTTTCAAATTTAATTTGACTCAATAAAATCTATTGCACTCTTGACATATGCTAAAAATGTTCGTAGTCTAGGTCATAGATATTTCGATAAATAAATTGAAATTCACTCCCATGTATTGATTTTCTTTTTCAACATCTATGGTACAGAAAAAAATCAATAACAATGTAATTTTATATTTTTTTTCATTTTGATTACTGTACCTTGAAAACGTTTATTTTGATCCAAATTTTTTTGTTTGAAATGGAAGCAGTTGCATTAAATTAAGCCACATGAGAGTCCTACAAGAAGCCAAGGAAGAAAAGAGTTTTGAGAGTACCACATGTCCGATGGAGATTAAATTTCCCATTTTGCAAGACAGTAGGCTGAGAAGTTACATTGACGAGGGGCATGACGAAAGAGATGAAATCGACATTTGGTGTTAGAGTTTTTAGTATTGATTCATTTTAGTTGTTCACGTATTTTTAAAAAGCGATCATTTCGATCCATCTATTTCTATATTCATTTTATTTTTCTCAGTATATTTAGTGGGGGTGGAGGTGTGGTGGAAGTTGGCCCGTGTCAAACAAACAAGATAAAAATAACAACAAATATAACCTATAGAATAATAACAATAATCACCATTTTTTTTCCAATCGCACAGGTAATATAACATAAGAACAATAAGGATAAATATAATTAATAATTTATAAGAAAAGTAATCTCCATGAATTTTAGAACTCAAAAGAGAACAAAAACATTGTTCCAATTTCAACTTCTTGTAGTTCGTTCTCATATCATCATATTCACAAAAAATGAGCAGAATGATTCGATTTCTCATCCCAGAAAAGGAATTCTGAGATTCAAAGGGTAGAAGTGTTTATGGTCTGCAAATTTCTCAGAGAATAGTACTCTCCACGGCGCCCCAATGAAATCAGCTCACTGTGCGATCCTTGTTCCACAACTTTTCCGTTCTTGATCACGGCGATGGAGTTCGCCTTCTGAATCGTTGATAATCGGTGAGCCACGATTATGCAAGTTCTGCCCACCATCATCTTCTCCAGCGCTTCCTGCACCAAGTTCTCTGATACACTGTCGAGTGCGCTCGTTGCCTCATCTAGCAGAAGGATTGAGGGATTCTTCAGGATTGCTCGAGCGAGTGCGATCCTCTGTTTTTGGCCTCCTGATAGCTGAGCTCCTCTCTCTCCGCAGTATGTATTGTACCCATCTTCCATTCCACTATTACAATAAAGAAAGGGGAAAAAAGTGTAATGTTACTGATTGAAATCTGTGTTTTTAGATAGCTTAATTTTGTTTTCGTTTTTATTTTAATGATGAAATGGAAGGAAGGAAACCTTGGAATAATGATGTTATGTTTACCTTATAAATTCGTGAGCATTGGCTAGAACAGCTGCTTCTATAATCTCTGATTCCCCTGCATCCCCCTTTCCATAGGCTATGTTTTCTCTGATAGTTCCGGCAAAAATAGTTGGCTCTTGGCTGACTAATGCAATCTGTGACCTTAACCATCTCAAATTGTAGTGCTTAATGTCTTGCTCATCAATGTATACGGATCCACTTGAGGGATCATAAAACCTCTCAATGAGTCCAATAATGGTAGATTTTCCAGAACCACTTTGCCCCACTAGTGCAACTGTTCTTCCTGCATCAATTTTAAGGCTCAGACTCCTTAAAACCATCTGGTCAGGTCTTGTTGGATATGAGAAGCAAACACTCCTGAGCTCTACCTTTCCCTTTATCCGTCTTTTGAGATCTCGTCCTGATTTGCTATCTGGATCAATTTCAGTCTTCCTGTCTAGGATTGCAAAAACTGATCCAACAGCATTGCTTCCTTTAGATATATCAGAAGTCATACTTCCAGCATCCGCTATGATATATGCGGTGAATAGCAATATCAAGAATGCTTGGAAGATATGCTCTGAGGATATTAAATTTTGTGTCAATAGTCTCCCACCATACCAGTAGGCCAAAGCTGTAGCAGCAGTGTTAAAGAACTGGGAACTGAATAGGCCAAGGCCAGATATCCAAGACTGCCTAGCACTCTCCTTCTTAGGACCTTTTTGCGTGGCAGCAAAGAGCCCGAGCATCTTTTTCTGAGAAGAGAATGCAGTGATAGTTTTATGGTTTATAACGGCTTCACTTGCAAGTTGGCTGCCTTCTCTTTGTGCTTTACGGGCTTTTTCAGCCATGCTCTTCATCAACACACTCCTTGCATAGAAGCTACCGATGACTAGTGGCTGCACTGCAATCATCACCAGAGTTAACCTCCACGAGAGCACAAGTCCCACACTGTAAGCAAGGACTGCACTAAAAATTGCTTGGACCAGTAATGACATTCTGTCTCCAACAAGAGAACGGACCATGTTGGCTTCAGTCGATAGCCTTGCACAAATGGCTGCACTTGTGTTCTCATCTTGATCGAACCATCCAATTTCGAATGTCATAAGCTTTTCAAGTATTTTCTCACGCACCCTTTTGGTTAATCTTTCTCCCATGATAGAAAAATTGTGATGCTGCAGGATATTTGTTAAGAAGTTGAAAATGCCAATTCCTAAAAAGACAAGTGACAAGGTTCTAGATTTAGACTTAATTTTGGGCTCATTAGCACGAAAATAAACTGATATGAGTGCTCCGACGCAATAAGCATTAATGGGCTGCACTGCTCCTGAGCCCAGAGCACCTACACATCCAAGGAAGGCTCGTCCCCATTCAGGTGCATTCATTTTCAGCAAACGCCATTGGGAAGGAGAAGGATAAGTTTGCTTTCTATCTTCTTCAAAGCTTTCATCATCAGGATCGAATTGGACAGAGTAAGAGTAGGGTGTTCCCATGGAAACAGACATCGCTGTGCTGAAGGGATATAAAACTGGAGTACTAGGTCCACTGGATCTCACACTCATTGGGCTTGTGGGAGTACTCATCCTATGGCGATATCTTTTATCCATTTCAATGTTGGAATCATTGAAAGTTTCATTTTGCACAGCCATCTGCTGCAACTGCACCATTCTTAGATACTCTCCACCCTGTCCATTGTTCAACAGTATCAGCTCATCATGTGAACCTGATTCAATT